AGAAGCTGGCGACTGATCTGCCTCGCCCGGGAAGAGTGCAATGATGGTGCCAACTTGGGCCAGTGAAGCGACATCCTCCACAACTAGACTGGGGAACATGATGACAGCAACTTGTCTGCTCCCCTTCTCCCAATTCCCCAGTGCTGTTCCCATCCCCCAACTCCCCAATAAAAATCTTTAAAAAAAATGTATGTTTTCTTTTAGGTACACAAGCACATTTGGTATCTCAAATCACTTCGTATGAACCTGGCAGGTACAATCTTCACCCCACTTTCTCCTTAACAAACTACTCCATTATTTGGCCTGAAGAAAGTGTTTGGTAAACATTTACTAAATGAAGACATGAACCACATATCTGGTACAATCGAACGGATGGGGGAAGGTATTGTCAAATCTAGTTCAACCCGTGCTGGATAAAACTCACCAAATACAAATTTTAATTCCTTCCTCCTGGTTCCCCACCATTACCTCCTTCCGTTGCAAAAGTGCCTGCTTTGCCTGGGTGGCTTTGAGGGCCTGATAAGCCTTCCTCTTTTTCAGGAGATTTTCTGGAACCAAAGGGATCTTTCTTCTTTGCCTAATACAGAAAATTGATATCAAAGACAATATTTAGGAAACAAATGTTCAATGAATTACCAAACTACTTCCGCGGCTTCGGGAAACATTACCGCCTTCAAATTCCTAAGGACGGAGAAACTCCCCTGAAACGTGTGGTTTCTGACTCTAGTCCTCAAAGCGGGTTCCTAACATTCCCTCGGCCCCAAAGCCTTAAAAAAATCACGAACCCTTAAGCCACTGGTCCTCGTATATGTCAACGCAGCTTTTACTGACACAGCGTTTTTAGACACTAGCAGCGATGAGATTCTAGTAAAACCCTGGGTGGCTGCGGTGGGTGCAGACCGACTTGCAGGGAGAATACCTAAGTCAGGCCGGGTGAACCCAAACTTGGCACTCTCCAGCTCGCTGCCTGAAAATCGGTTTTTTCGCCCCTCGAGGTAAACCAAATTTGACTACAGCCCCCCTCCACCCGCCCGCCGGCACCCTGCGGCTTCTCACTCTTCACCCCCACCCGGTATCATCTGGAGCCTTTTTCTCTTCCCTTCCTTCACACCACAAGTAACGCTATTTTCCGCCACCGAGAAGTAAACACCGGGGATGGCACTGGATGCTCAACTCCCCACTCCAGAGATTCAAAGACCCAAACACTTACTCTTCCTCCGCCATCTTTCCAATGCTGCGGCTACTGCTCATGCGTAGTCCCACCACGTGAGGAAGCGAGGAACCGCTCTATGTTCACCTGACCATAGAGACGTCTCCTGGCTGTCGACCCAGTCTACCAGCGTCCTCCTCGTTGCCGTGAACCGTCGAGGTCCTGCTAACCCCGGTTCCTGCCAAAAGTTGCACAAAGCTACCTTCGCACCACTTCCAGGCGATTTAGAGCCTGTCATTTTCAAAACCCAGCCCTTTTCATTTAAACTACACTCTCACAAGGCGGGGGTCTGGACGACAAACAATGAAACGCTTCCCACAATGCACCTGACTTCCGGTGGAGGGTGGGCGCTGCACTTCCGGCTTGCGCATCGCTGTGCTGTTCCAGGAAGGAACACAGGAGACCTCGGCGCTTTGTTGGCTGTGTGCAGAGAGCTGAGGGGCTATAGCAGTGCCCTCACGTGTGGGTGGAAGTGTTTATGGACGATTTAGGATGGTAAAAAATGCAGCTCCAGTTCCATCTGCCCAGCATCGTCAGTGGGCCCTTCATCTGTACCTTAGTCTCCTTTACCCCTAAAAAGTGTACAATAATGGACCTTACCTAAAAGCCCTACGAGGGTTATATGAGCTACTCCATATAAAGTGCTCAACACAAAGAATGACAGTGAGCAGTCAACATAATTATTAGTTCCTGACCCAAAACTAGAAATTCCTTCTTGCCATCTCGGAACCTTCACTCATACAGCTCTTACCACCTGGACTATGCTTCCTTCTCTCCTGGTCTTAATAAAACAATGAAAAACAACCCAAGTCCTGTCTTTCCTGCAAACCTCGAGAGCATCGCGTCTCAAGAATTAATGTGCATAGGAGTTACATGAGAATATTGTTAAAAATACAGATTTTTATTCAGGATGGGGTGGGTCAATATGCTGCATTTTTAACATGCTTCACAGTGATGCCCATGCTTCAGGTCTATGGACTGGCAAGGTTCCTTTCTGTGAATTCCTTCAACACATTATTATATTTTTCAACATTTTCCCCAGTGATACTAGGAGGGCAGGGACTATGCTCATCACTAATTCTAAGGGTCTAGCACATGTTTCTCAATCTTGGCACTATTGGGATTTGAGGCAAGATAGTTCTTTGTTATGGGGGGGGGCTGTCCTGTGCATTGTAGAAAGTTTAGCATCATCCAAGACTTCTACCCACTACCTGCCAGTAATACCCCCACCCCAAGTTGTGACAAAAATGTCTAGCACCATATATTTAGTTATCCTAAGAGTCCAAGGCAATGTCATTATTTGACAGTCAGGAAAGACAGGCATCACCACAGACTTTATCCAGTACTATTTGGTTTCCCTAATTAGATTGGCAGCTCTGAAGGCAGGGAACTTGTCTCATACTTCTCTGTATCTTCTATAGCACCTATCACAACAAGGGATCCCTGCAGGGGCTTGTTAACTAAGTTCAAGTCATCCTATTGGTATGTGTTACATAATCGGTCCAATCAGAAAGATAGTGTCATGCACAGAGCTTACTACCTGATGAATAAATGTCAAAGGACAACACAATCTTCGAGGTCACAGACTGGTGTGAAGCGTTCTCATTCTTTCAACACCTCACCGTGGGTCTTACTTTGTAAAGAGCCAAGAACAGAAGGGTCACCAGTGTAAGACATCCAATTAGATGGTAAACAAGGAACAAAAATAAGTCAGTATTTTCTAACTTCCCCTGTGTACAGATAAAAGGTAAGTTCTGTGGTAGTGATGGTACTAGGGAGAGGAGGAATTTCAGGGGTATCAACCATACTCCTGGCTGAAAAGACTTTGGAGGCCAGAATTTGGAAAGGTTTTCCAGGGCCAGCAGATGGTGCTAGGAGAGTACTTAATTCTCAGTGCCAAAGCCATCCTTACACCAAGACTGATGCAGAGAAAAAGGGATAGCATCCTCTTCAACTAAAAATCGTTTCACTAACTGAACGCATGTTTACTGAGCATCAACCATGTACCCTAATAGTAGGCAAGATATGAGATTTTTTTTTCACGAGGTTACTGAATGAGAACGAGGCATGGCCATTTACAGCCTCAAGAATCTTATTGTTTTTAGCTTGTCCTCATAGGCCTCTGTTCTCTCTCTCTCTCTCTTTTTTTAATTAGTTGGTTGTTTTTGCGGCCCATGCGGAGATCGAACCAGCAACCTTGGTGTTGTGAGCACTGCGCTCTAGCCAACTGAGCTAACCAGCAGCCCCATATTCTCTTTTTTATTTTATTTTTTACTTATTAAAAAAAATATTTTTTTTAAGCATCGTGCCACCTGTTGGCAGCTCCGTGGCTGCTCAGCTCGGGCCGGGACTCAAACCGCTGTTGCTCAGAGCTCAAACTCTTGAGCAAGCTCTTAACTAACTGAGCCACTTGGCCAGCCCAATATTCTGTTCTTTTTTGGACCACTTCAGTTGTCCATCACTAAAGAATAGTTAAATAAATTATGGAAGACTATGCAATTATACGCAGTGAAGCATGTCTTCAAGTCCTGAAATCTTCATGGTAGGTGTTTTTCATTTTTTGGCCTGCTGATATCCGTTCCCATTTCCTAACACTATCCCATTTCTCTCATGGACTGGTCTCTCCCTCATCGTGTAAATCCAAATGCTTGTCCTCCCAATACATAAGTTGAAGGGATCTCTGGGAGATCTGTTCCAGTCCTCTTACCTCCCCCGTAGGAGGGGCACGGGACCGTAAACTTCTCTCCTTTGGGTTTGAATCTTGAGCAGTGATGGTGGAAGAAATGTGGGAGGTTTGGGGCAAGAGTTTTAAGGATTTCCACCTACTGAGACCTGGAGTTTCCTTGTTCCTGTCTTTCTCAAGCCTGGTGATTTTTCAATCTTCCCTTAAATTCTATCCTTCTTACAAAATTCCTTTATGCTGGTTAACCAGGCTGGTTTTTGTTGCTTACGACCAAAAAATCCTGACTTATAATATTCCCAGATATTTGGAAAATTTCTGTATTGTATTGCATTTGAGAAATACAGAATAGGGTGTACAAGAGTTGTCCTAGTTTGTTTTGTGTTTGTTTTTGGGCTATAGATGTATTTATATGTAACAAATTTGGAAAGTTACACAAGAAGGTGTTGATGGGTGGGTGTTAGTTTTGGGAAATGGAAGTGGGGCCTGGGGTGGGAGGAAGACTTACATTTTGTGGTATGCCCTTTGTTTATCACGTATTTATTAGTCTAAGAAAAAGCTCTCTAGGTAGGTTCTTGTGATTTGCCTGTTTTAGAAACCACTTGATTATATGTCTTTAAAGACTCCTTTCAGGACCAAATTTTATGGCTCTTTGAATTGACTCCAGGATCCCTTTGCTAACAGATCCCACAGTAAGTTACGTCAGTGTTGTCTGCACTTTGGGATTATTTGGAATCCTATTGTGTTTCACTTAAAAGATAATTGAGTAGGGACTTCCCAGTCAGGCAAAACCACACCCAACACACCCAAAAGGGGGCTCCATCTGCAATTTCCCATGTGCCCTAAACCTTTCTTGGATTATAACCCTTCTTGCAGCCGACTTCGTTTTGTTTCACGCTTTCCTTGTTGCATCCTCTGAGGCTGACATGGGTTATCAGGAAGCAGGTGGGAGATGACAGCAGGTCCTCAAGTAACCTCATTTTGTTATAACATTGATGAGATGCCCTAGCAAATTAACTTTTTTTTTTAATATCAGTTAGCTTATGGTAAAACTGGTTTTGTTATACATTGTTTAGCTGCAGTTCCAAGAATCTATTGATGACATTGAGGACTTACTGTGAGAGCGGCCAGATGAGCCTGGAGTTGGGGAAGACAACGGGGACGACAGCTTTTGAGCCTGATGAAAAAACAAGCAAAAGGGAGCAAAAGTGGGAAGGAAAACAGAGACAATGGGTGAAGGGCAGCAGCCTTCTCAGGGTTGAGGACAGACACAGGAAAACGAGGGTAAGGCAACAGTGTGCAGTAGGGAAGACCAAAAGCAAAACAGAAAAACCTAAACCTCTTCTGAATTATTTCAGGTATCATGGAACATGAGCTTTTTCTACCCTCCATGCTTCTTCAGTAACATCTCATTTTACACCCAAAGCCATGGAGGGTCAGGACAAGTCTTCCTGGTTTATAGGCCAGGAAGCTGAGGCTGAGAAGAACTTGCATGAAGATATCTGATTCCGTGTTAGACGAAGTACTGGGACCTGTTTCCAGATTCAGCTGCCAAAGGCCCTTTCTGCCCACCCCGTCGCACTGCTTTCCTGACCTTCACAGTAGTGATTATTTTTCTTGCCTTTGCAAGGGTTTTCAAGGGCCAGGCTATAGTACATGCCTGTAAGGAATACAGATTAGGTTTCTTATAAAGGCCTTTTACCTGTAGCAATGGAGACACAAGCTGTTCACATTACAGAATCCACTTTATACTACAAATGTGCTCCTACTCTTTGTGCATATACTGAACCAGGTTTCTCCACATATTTAACAGTGTAATTACAAAATTCCTTTATGTTCCTTCCTGCAGAAGTATCATAGTTTTTTGCTTAAACGTAACTCAAGAAACTGTTCTAAGAAGCAGGGCATGGAGATATAGATCGCAGCTCTCTGCCGAAAGGCAGTCTGGAAGAATTTTAGCCATTCCTCTCTCCTGAAGTCAGTTCCCAAATGTAATGTAGTTATTTGCTTGTTTCCTCTCTAGATTGTGAGCTCTTTGAGAGTGGAAATCGTACCTGAATTATATAGATATGCCCAGTGTCTATCTAGCACAGCTCCTGTAAACTGCTCAGTGAATGTTTGGTGCTTAATGCTCGCCACCTTCTGCTGGGTTTCCAGGAGTCCTGTCTCGGGGAGCACACACGGGGCTGAGGCACAGCCAGAGCTTGGACGCAGGGCCTAGCTCCTTGCAGACAGCGTAGCTAGTCCTGCCTGAGTGATGCTGTTTCAGTGCCCCCCAGATGGGGGGTTTCCTTCTTTTCCCTTCCCTTCCCCCACCCCCTCCAGTAACCCACTGTCTACTTTCTCTACACCAGGGAGAACTAGGGCAACCTCTCCTGGAACACAGCTTCCCCCACACAGGGCTTTAACCATCCTAAGAACAGGTGCCTGGTCTTTCCTTGGCCTGCCTCTGGGGACACAGAGACTCCGAGCCTAACTAAGCATAAGCAGCCAGGCGATCCTTTCTTCTACTCTTCATTCGTGGGGCACCCCCACTGCAAAGGGCCTGAAGAAGGACAAGAATGTCGTGATGGACACACATTTATCTCTAGCAAGAAGGGAAGACTGACATCAGGGCAACACTGCAAATGATGTTACGGGAT